AAAACAGTGGCTGACATTGGCTTATGGGGGAGCACCTCACGAGTGGCCACAAAACCAATGTATCCAGAAGCTGGCACCAGAAACAACAGATCAACTCCTGATTTGCCCCATTAGTGGTACACACACAGGGTGATTGCAACAAGTACACGAGCCTGCTAGTACAAATCCACTCAGTAGAGTCAGCCCTCACACGGCAACTCTTACCCTGTGGATGCAGCCAATTCCCACAATTAGTCAGTCTGAGCGTTAATTTCATCCACTGATGTATTAAAAACAATAAAGTCTTGGCAACAACAGAAGATCACGCACAACCCATACAAAGATCACATCCAGAGCCCCTGGCATAGGGAATCAGGAGAGTGTGCCACTAGACCACACAAGACACTTCCACATTAGGCTATCTGGCCAAGTCTGAGAGATGAAACAAATATTCCTGACACATAGAAATGAACACAGAAATGCTAATAAAATGAGAAAACAAAGAAAATAGACAAAATGAAATGGAGGCAAGCAACCTACCAGAGGCAGAGTGTCAGAGTTCAGAATAACGGTTATAAGGATGCTCAATGAACTTATGGGGAAAATGGATGAGCACAATGAGAACCTCAGAGAGATAGTAAGCATTAAAAAGGACATGAAAATTATTAAAAAAACAAAACAAAACAAAACAGATAGAAATGAGAAATACAATAAATAAAATGAATAGTACATTGGACGAAGCAGACAATTGAATCAGTAAACTGAAAGACAAGGTAGCAGAATACACCCAATCGAACCAAAAAAAAAAAAAAAGAATTAAAAAAAAATGAGAATAGTGTAGAGACCCCTAGGACAACATGACACATAAAATTATCCGGATCATATGAGTACTCGAAGGAGAAGAGAGAGAGCAAAGGATTGAGAATCTATTTGAAGGAATAATGACAGAAAACTTTCCTACCCTGGCAAAGGAATTAGAAATGTAAGTTCAAGAAGCACAAAGAGTCCCAAAAAGAGGAATTCAAACAGACTCGCACCAAGACACATCATAATAAAAATGCCAAAGGTCAAAGACAGAAAATCTTAAAAGCAGCAAGAGAAAGGCAGTTCTTAACTCACAAAGGTACACCCGTAAGTATGTCTGCTGATTTTTCAATGGAAACTTTGCAGGCCAGAAGGGCCTGGCAGTAATAGCCAAAGTTATAAAAAACAGGAATCTACAATCACAGGCTTTTGATTAAATGGATGGTGAGATACAGAGCTTCCCTGACAGGGAATAGCTTAAGGAATTTATCACGAACCAGTCAGCATTATAAGAAATGTTAAAAGGACTTTTGTAAAAATAGAAGGGGTAAAAAAGAAAATAAAATACAAATAATAAAATGGCAGTAACTTTTCTTCTTATCAGTAATAACTTTAAATGTAAATAGATTAAATACTCTAATTAAAAGACATAGAGTAGCCAAATGGATAAGAAAACAAGACTATGCATATGCTGTCTACAAAAGATCCATTTCAGATCAAATGACACTCAGACTAAAAACAAAGGAATGGAAAAAAGTTATTTCACGTAAATGGAAGTGAATAAAAAGTCAGGGTAGTGATACTTATATGATATAACATAGACTTTAAAACAAAGGCTATTATAAGAGATAAAAAGGACATTCCATAATGACAAAAGGATCAATAAATCAAAAGGAATTAACCCTAGTAAACATATACGCACCCAACATAGGAGCACCGACATACATAAAGGAATTATTGATGAACATAAAAAGAGAGATCGATAGTAATGCACTCATAGTAGAAGACTTTAACACCCCTTGACACCAATGGACAGATCTTCCAGGCAAAGAATCAAGAAAGAAACAATGGACCTAAGAGACACACTAGACCAGATGGATTTGATAGATATTTTCAGATCATTTTATCCCAAAGCAGCAAATATACATTCTTCTCAAGTGTGCATGGAACATTTTCAAGGATAGACCACATGTTAGGACACAAATTTAAGAAAATTGAAATCATTTCATAATGGTATGAAATTAGAAATCAAGTATAAGAAAAAAATGGAAAAATAAACAAATGTATGATGCTAAATAAATGCTACTAAACAATGAATGGGTTATTAAGGAGATCAAGAAAGAAATCAAAAGTTATCTAGAGACAAATGAAAATGAAAACAAAGCGACTCAAAATCTATGGGACGCAGCAAAAGCAGTCCTAAGAGGAAATTTCATAGTAATCCAGGCTTACCTTGAGAAATAAGAAAAAGTTAAAATAAACAATCCAAGCTTACACGTAAAAGAACTAGAAAAAGGAGAGCAAACAAAGCCCAAAGTGAATAGAATGAAGAAAATAATAAAGATCAGAGCAGAAACAAACAAAATAGAGTCTCGAAAAACAATACAAAAGATTAGTAAAACCAAGAGTTGGTTCTTTAAAAGGATAAACAAAATTGACAGACCTTTAGCCAGACTCATCAAGGGAAAAAGAGAGAGGACTCAAATAAAATCAGATGAAAGAGGAAAAATAAATACAGACTCCACAGAAATACAAAGGATCATAAGAAAATAATATGAGTGATTATATGCCAACAAATTGGACAATCTGGAAGAAATGGACACATTCCTGGAAACAAGTCATCTCCCAAGATTGAGTCAAGAAGAAACAGAAAATCTGAACTGATCGATTGCCACCAATGAAAGAGAATCATTAATCAAAACCCTACCAAAAAAGAAAAAAAAAAAAAAGTCTTGACCGGATGGCTTCTTAGGCAAATTTTACCAAACATTCAAAGAAGAATTATCACCTATTCTCCTCAAACTACTCCAAAAATTCAAGAGAGAGAAGATTCCCTAACTCCTTTATGAGGCCACTATTACCTTGATTCCAAAACCAGACACAGACATTACAAAAAAAGAAAACTATAAGTCTGTATCTCTTACAAACATTGATGTAAAAATTCTCAACAAAATATTAGCAAACCAAATTCAGTAATACATTAAAAATATCATACACCATGATTAAACTGGATTTACTCCTGGGATGCAAGGTTGGTGCAATATCCACAAATCAATTAATGTGATACACCACATTAACAAATTATAAGATAAAAAACATGTGATTATATCAATAGATGAAGAAAAAAGTGTTCCATAAAAGCAAGCCTTCATTTATAATAAAAATTCTCAGCAAAGTGGGAACAAAGGGAACATATCTCAACATAATAAAGACCATATATGACAAATCTACAGTTAACATCATACTCAATGGGAAAAGGCTAAAAGCATTTTCCTTATGATCAGGAACAAGACAAGGATGCCCACTTTCACCACTCCTCTTCAACATTGCATTGGAAGTCTTAGCCACAGCAATGAGACAAGAAAGAGATATAAAAGGCATTTGAATTAGAAAAGAAGTAAAACTCTCGTTATTTGCTGATGACATGATAATATATGTACAGATTCCACCACACACAAAAAAAAAATTGTTGGAACTGATAACTGAATTCAGTAAAGCAGCAGGTTACAAAATAAATATTCAGAAGTCAGTGGCACTTTTATACACCAATGGTGGACTTTCAGAAAGAAAAGTTAAGAAAACAATCCCATTTACGATTGCATCAAAAACTGCAAAATACCTGGGAATCAGATTAACCAAGGAGGTAAAAGACTTGTTCTCAGAAAATTATAAGTCATTGAAAAAAGAAACTCAGAAAGATATAAATAAATAGAAGCATATACCATGGAAAAATCAACATCGTTCAAATGGCCATACTACTCAAAGCAATCTATAGATTCCATGCAATCCCTATCAAAATACCAATGGCATTTTTCATAGAGCTAAAATAAATAATCCTAAAATTCATATGGAACCATAAAATACCCTGAATAGCCACAACAATCCTGAGAAAGAAGAACAAAGTTGGAGGTATCACACTACCTGATATCAAACTATACTACAAGCCTACGGTAATCAAAATAGCATGGTACTGGCATAAAAACAGATACACTGATCAATGTAACAGAATAGAGCCCAGAAATAAATCCACGCCTATATGCTCACTTAATATATGACAAAGGAGGTAAGAATATACAATGGAGTAATAAATGGTGTTTGGAAAATTTGATAGATACATGTAAGAAAAGAAAAGAAGCCACCTTCTTATACTGTGTACAAGAATATACTCAAAATGGATTAAAGACTTAAGTATAAGATCTGAAACCATAAAACCTTTAGAAGAAAACATAGGCAGTAAACTCTGATATTACTAACAGCAATTTCTTTCTGGATATATCTCCCTGAACAAGAGAAACAGAAAAAATAAACAAATGGGACTACATCAAACTAAAAAGTTTTTGTACAGCAAAAGAAACCATTAACAAGACGAAAAGACAACTGACTAATTGGGAGAAGATATTTGCTAATGGTACATCCGATAAAGAGTTAATATCCAAAATATATAAAGAACTCATACAACTCAGCAACAAAGAAACAAACAATCCAATTAAAAAATAGGCAGAAGACCTAAACAGATACTTCTCCAAGGGAAAAACACAGATGGCTAATAGACATATGAAAAGATGTTCAATGTCACTAATCATCAGAGATATGCAAATTAAAATCACAATGTGATATTACCCGACACTTGTCAGAATGGCTATCATCAATAAATCAAAGAAAAAGTGTTGGCGAGGATGTGGAGAAAAGAGAACCCTCATACATTGTTGGTGGGATTGTAAATTGGCACAGCTGCTATAGAAAACAGTATGAAGGTTTCTCAAAAAATTAAAAATGAATATACCTTTTAACCTAGCAATTGCACCACTGGTTATTTATCCAAAGAAAACCAAAACAATTTGTAAAGATCTATGCACTGCAATATTTTTGGCAGCACAATTTACAATAGCCAAGATATGGAAGTAACCTAAATGCCTATCAACAGATGATTGTATAAAGAAATTATGGTTCATATATACAATGGGATATTACTCACCCATTAAAAAATGAAATCTTACCATTTGCAACGACATGGATCAACCTCTAGGTCTTCATGCTGAAATAAGTCACACAGAAAAAGATAAATACCATATGATTTCAGTTATATGCTGAATCTAAGGAACAAAAAGAACAAATAATTCAAAAACAGACTCAAAAATATAGTGGACATTTGGTGATGGACAGAGGGGAGGGGTGGTTGTGGGGTTGGAGGAATGGGGTGAAGTGTTAAAGCAGAATTAGTAGTTGATAGATGGTCACAGCAATGGGGAGCCTGGCATTGAGAATGCAGTTAGAATTAATATATTGGCCATGTAGAAAACCAGAGGAGAGAAGGAGTAATTAGTGGAATCATTTATAAATGATATAATGTCTAACCAATGTAGTGTATACTTGAAAATATTTAAAATAAATAAGTAAATTTATAAAAAAAAATAAAATAAAAAGTTTTTGCACAGCAAAGAAAAGCATAAAAAAAAGAGAAAAAAGAAAAGAAAAGCATCAACAAAATGAAAAGAAAACCTACAATTGCTAATGGTACATCTGATTACGGGATAATATCTAAAATTTATAAGGTATTCACACAACTCAACTTAAAAAAAATTCTATTTAAAAATTAGCAGAAGATATGAATTGGCATTTCTCCAAAAAAAGTTATACAAATGGCTATTTGACATATAAAAAAGTTGCTCAACATCAGTAATCATCAGAGAAATGCACACTACTCCACAATGAGATGTCACTTTATGTCTTTCAGAATCGCTATCATCAATTATTCAAAGATGTAAAGAAAAGGAAATCCTTGTGCACTTTTGATGAGATTGAAAACTGGTGCAGCCACTATGGAAAATAGTTTGGAGTTTCCTTTAAAAATAAAAAAAATAGAACTGCCTTTTGATCCAGCAATTCCACTTCTGGGTATTTATCCAAGGAAAATGAAAACACTAATTGAACAAGATATATGCACCCTTAAATATATATTTATATATATATGGAATATTACTTGGCCATAGAAGGGAATGAAATCTTTCTTACAATTGGCAACAACATGGATGGACCTAGAGGGTATTATGCTAAGTAAAATATATCAGACAGAGAAAGAAAAATACTATATGATCTCACTTATATGTGGATTTTAAAGAAAAAAATGAATAAAATAGAAACAGTCTCATAGCTACAGAGAACAAACTGGTGATTGCCAGAGGTGATTGCCAGAAGAGAGGGTCATTGTGGGGCTGGGAGAAAAGGTGAAGGGATTAAGAAAAACAAACTGGTAGTTACAAAATTGTCACGGAAATGTAAAGTACAGTGTAGAGAATATGGTTAATAATAGTGTAACAACTATGTATAGTACCATGTGGATTCTAGACTAATCTGAAGGATCACTTTATAAATTATTTAAATATCTAATCATTACGATGCACACCTGAAATAAATATAAAATAACATTAAATAACTTATTTTAAAAATAATAATAATACATGTTTTGGCCTGTGCATATGTTGTCTCAGAAAATCACCAGGGTGGTGTGACTGGTATTAGCCAGGTTAATGGAGACTCTGATGGGCTGCCCACCTGAATCTGAATGCTGAGTTCAAGAGGGCTCAACAAAGAAACATGGTGCCTATCTGCATTCTGTGCCAGAGAGAGCTGGCCCTGTAGCCTTCGCCCTGAAGCCAGACAATTCAGTTTCTTTTCATATGTCTCTGGCACTTTTGAGCTGCTGTTCCTTTGCTGGAGTTTATTGTGAGTGTTTGTAAGTAAATGAGTTTGTGCTCTGCCCTTTAAGTTCACACCTTGGTCTATGGCAGCCCTCTATTTTACCCAGCAAGTGGAATCCCTGCCGATTTTCACAAGCCAGATTTTATGGATACTTCTATTTCCAGAGCTGGTGTTCCAGGCTATGGCACTTGGTGTGATGCTGGACTCCTCACTCCTTAGGGGTACCTCCATAGCCTGATTCTTAACTGCTACACATAGATGTAGGACCAACCCAATTCACATCTCTACCATTCCTACCAGTCTTGATGTCGGTTGTTTATATTCTTAGTTTTAAGAGTTCTGTTCAGCTAGTCTTCAGGTGGTTCTCAAATGTGGCTGTTCTATAATTAGGTTATAATTTTGATGTGGTCATTTGAGGAGGCAAGCATAGCTTTCACTTACTCTGCCATTTTAACTGGAAGTCCCTAGTATGTTGTGTTTTTAAAGAAATTTTTTTTTCTTTTTGTCTAAGTTTTTTAATTTATTGGCATTAAGTTGTTCTTAATATGTTCTCATATTCTAATTGCCTGTAGGATCTTAATTGATATTCCTATGTTCACTTTTGCTTTTTGCAGCTATTTTCTCTTTCTTCATGATCAGGGTTGTTAGGGATTTATTCATTTCACTAAGACTTTATAAGTTCCAAATTCCAGTAGAGCTGGTTTCTATCTTTATATTTAAATTTTATTTTTTACCAGTCACATCTATATTACAGTCTCCTTTTTTACTATTGGATTAATTTTACTAACCCCCTTCCCCACAAAAAAAGAAATTTTTAAGTTTAAAACACAGAGTATGTTATTAATACTTCTTTCTTTTCTAATATAAAAACAAAATATAAAATTGCCTTTAAGCAATATATGATTTCATTTTACAAATGAAAACAGATATTTCTATTATTGCTAAACTAGAAACATTTCCTTATTTCAGTTTTTTTCCTACTTTCACTATAAATTATGTAAATAAGAAGAAAATATTTGTTAACCTGGTTTTATTCACTTTAACACCACCTGTTCCAATTACTACAACCAAAAAGTGATATACTTTGATTGGTTCAGCTAATATCAGATGGCCCACTTGAACTGAGGCATGGGTAGAGTGGGTAAGATGTTTAACCAGAAATAAGGTGAATGGATGTTCAGCATGAACTAGAATTGGAGAAGTTAATAATGGCATGAGGAGATCCAGTGATTCTACTCATAGATAAAAATTATGGGAAAAAAACATTAAAAACAATTATTTGAAGACCCTGGAAAGTGACCAAAGTCAATCAAAAATTTTAGAAACAGTTAATCTTAAAATGTTACTATTTTATCATATTAGGGAAGAACTGTGAGTTTGAAGGGTCTTTTGTTTGTTTTTGTTTTGTTTTGTTTTTTGTTTTGTTTGTTTGTTTGTTTGTTTTTTGCCAAGGAGCATTTCCCAATACCTCCATATCTCCATTCCCTCAGGAAGTCACATATTAGAGTTAAGAGAATAAAAAATAGATGTTTAAGAAAGGAATTTTGTAAATGAGACAGCTACAGAAGAATAGAAATGTCAAATTTGAGTATTATTTCTGCCAAAAGTTCTGACTGATTATGGGTTGCTGAGCAAAAGAAAAAAAAAACATGAACAAATAAAAGAGAAACATACTTTTGAAAGCTGAATGGCTCCTGGTAAGATTTTTGAGCATTATGTGCTTTTGAATTAATGTATTCCTTTATTACCACACAGATTTGAGAGCTAAAAGAGGACTCTACTGATTTGACTTTTTAGATGTCAAAAATCAGGAGTAGCAAAGCTATCAGAATATTAGAGAACTACAGAGAGGAAGAGTCTCAAGTCTGAAGGTAAACTATGCACAAATATTTGCAAACAGTTAAATTATATACAGTGTTTAGGAAGCCAGACTGAAAAAAAAGCAGCATCTTAAAGCCAAACACAATCTGAGCAGAGACATCAACTGCTCCAAAATATAGGTGAGAAATATTTTGCATTTTTAGTTCAAGGAAGTTAACTACCTGCTAGAGAAAATGTAAAACTCTCTGAAAAACAAAACCAAAATATTTACAGTTGCTTCAGTATCTTATATAAAATGTTTTTCAACAGAAAATAATTATTTATGTAAAAAATTAATAAAGCATAATTCATACACAGAAAAAAACCCAGTTAATAGAAATTGATTCCAAGTGAACTACAATTTGAATTTTGCAGTATTCACATCAGTTATTATAATTATGCTCAAAGAACGAAAGAAGAATATAGTATTAAAAAGTAAATAGATGGGAAATATTAGCAGAGGATTGGAATTTAGATAAAGGAAACTATTGGAAATTTAGGGTTTATAGTTGTAATAGCTGAAATAAAAAAAATTGTAAAATAAGTTTAATAGGATTTTGGAGATGATAGAAGAAAAAATCAGTAAATTTGAAGATACAGTAGAATTATTTGCTCTGAATAAGACAAAAGAGAGATGAAGTGAACAAATTCTTTGAGATTTTTAAGATGATATCAAGTGGTCTAACATATGTGTAATTTGAATATCAGAAGGAAACTAAAAGAAAAGAGGAAGAAAATATTTGAAGGAATAATAGCTAAAACTTCCCAAACTTGGTGGAAGACAGTAATTTACAAATTCAAGTTGTTCCACAAAGCCATAAGTAAACAAACAAACAAAAATTTAAACAACAACGACAACAGCAAAACACCTAAGCACGTAATAAAAAAATTGTTGATAGGTTAAAGTAAAAAAAAGTATTGAAACAGCAAGAGAAATTTGACACATTACATACAGTAGAATGGTAATGCAATTAATGGAAACATTTTCTTTAGAAACTACGGAGAACAGAGACATTGAAATGGCATATTAAAGAAAATACTCTATCAACCAAGAATTTATATCCAGAAAAGAATATTTTCCAAATAAAAAATAATGAAAACTTTCATATAAACAAAAATGTAGATAATTTGTTGCGAGCAAAAATGCACCATAAGAAATACTACAGGAAGTCTTTCAGGTTGAAGAAAAGTAAAACCCATAGTAACTTGGATATGCAAGAAAAAATGATGAGCACTGAAAATGGTAAATGTATGTTTCAATATAGATTATATGAACACACATGATTTTTCTCTTATTTTTTTTTTTAAGATGTATGCCTGTGTAAAAATTATTATGGTGTATTGCTGAATTCAGGTAAATGGAATAATGCCATTGTAATTTTTTATATTATACTAGCAGTAATTTCATATTTTACTAGCAGTTATTTCATATTAAGTTTAAGTAAATTATGTT